TCGCTTGGTACACCAAATGTCTGCTTGGCTGTACAAAAGGTTATGGTGAAGATTTGTAGAGAATTGAGTAAATGAAGGATATAAAGAGGGCTTATGATAGTGAATGACACCTATTGGAAGATATCGTAAGAGTGGTGTCATGCCTTTACTTTATGTCTGATAAAATAACGGAACGTTCAGAGGAGTATGGTACGTCTGAAGTACACCTTTGATTAGCAAGATGATGGAACGGCTGGTGTAATTCTTGAAGTTGTCCCATCGTCTGGAATTTCCATCACCAATCGAGTTGAAGTAGAGTTGATGATTGAAGATTGAGCAATGAGGAACTCCTAGTAGAGTCTAGGGAAATTGTTTATGATTATTTGGACACATTTGTATGTGTTAAATCGTTTTGTGATTTTCTTGTATGGTGACTTGGTCGACTGCGGGACAATACTTGAGACGAGTATAAGTAGGTGTGAAAGCTAGTAGATGCATATACTACCGAAAGCACAGGACTCGCACTTGGATCGGGGAAGGTCATAAGGTTACCAAGAAGCTAGTGATTGATTCCATTTTATTCTGGTATGTCATTACCATTGTTTCAGTAATGACTAGTAAGATGGTTCTTGTTCCGAACCTAGTGGTCATATTTAAATTTGAGTTCGACTACGAGGAGTATGTTACGTGGTCTAGAGGACCAAGTTAGATGTAACATCCGACTTAATTAAGAAGGTTGAAGTTGATACGATTGATAGTGTCGCGTTCGTTGTTAAAAGAAGTTTGCAGGTAGAAATGCTACATGTTGAAATGTGACTATATCACATTAGAATATGAAGAAAGGTATATTCCAATCTGGGATTTACCTTTATTAAAGACCGAGTCTAAGCATCGCATCGTGCGATGAGAGGTCAATAGAGAACGACCCATCGGTTTGTTACAATAGATAAATGAAAGTAATTATCTTGAGAAGAAGAAGGAGTCCACAATAAGGACTTATTTGGTAACTTGAAGGTTACGATTGAAAGTACAACATATTACGATAAGCAGATGCAAGATTTGGCATCTTCTGCAGTCAAGAAAGCCATAGAGTTAAATACTCTTTCAAGGAAACATAGAAGTTACGGTTATTACCTAGGATGAAGAAATAATGTGTGGAATCATTATGCAAGTCCTATTTCGTTGATGATTCCGGAACGTAATCATCCTAAGGGGGAGATAATTGTAACGCCCATAGATCCGGGCTAGTCAATTTAGAGACGATAAGCATCAAAAATGACTTTTTGATGGAATATTACTTAGAAGGATTAATCTTAACCAAGTTGTAGTATATGTTACAAGGTTTCCGTGCATATAAAGAACGCCAAAATCCGAGTTATAACGAAGAAGTTATGGCCTGTCGAAGTTTCGCGACAGAACCGACATGACCCTGTGCGACCCAGCGCGACATAAATAGTGAATTTAAGGTAGATAGATATCTATCCTTAGTGATCTAAACAAGAGTCGAAGATTTCTTCGATAGTAGTCCAACGATAAAAAGACAGACGAAAACGGAGTTCAGATGAAGGAGTTATGAGTTTATAACAGAGTTTTCTTGTCCCTGCCTACTAAAAATAATATATAACTAATATAATTATAATATATTAAAAATAAAGTCAAAATTAGCCAATGGAGTCTAAACGAGAGTTGTAGAGAATAATCTCACCTTCGCGTCGATATAAAGAACATCGAAAACGAAGTTCGTATGCGAAAGTTATGAATTTCTGAAATTCCGGGCGCGAAACCCCAAAACTGTCAGAGACCACGACGTGGCAAGCAGTGCCACAACGTGACAAGTTTTACTGCCGAGATGCAACTTGAGATGACGCATGCAGTAACGATCAAGCCGACGATGTGGCAAAAGGTTCCACGACGTGGCAAGGGCCAGTTTTGCCCTATAAATAGATTTGAAGGGCCAGCCGAGTTTGGTTGCTCATTCTCTCATCTCTCTCCCATATTACATCGATTTACGTGCAAAGACGTACCCTCGAAGCCCCGGTATCAACCCCGAGACCCGAAGCAAGTCCCGAAGCCCGAAGATCCCGAGAAGAAAAGAGTTTCGATGTCGAAGCTCTGCTTGCAAGAAACCCGGTGTGTGAAGTGATCCCGGTTTCACCAAAGAATACTACTTCTACAAGCCGTAGTGATGTCCGATCATCCTCTGATCAGGTGAGTGTATAGTCACTTTCGTCTTACACATAGATATGAAGTATTTTATAAAATACGTGCTATGTGTATATATATAGTTGTTTATATGTGTGAGTGTGTGGTCACTTTCTTCTAACACATAAATATTAAGTATTTGCTATGAAATATGTGGTATGTGTATAATATACAGTTGTTTATATGTGTGAGTGTGTGGTTACTTTCTTCTAACGTATAGATGGTAAGTATTTGCTAAGAAATACGTATTATGCGTTTATACATTGTTTGCTTATTTGAGATGAGTGTGGAATGGGCGCTTTATATAGTTTTTAAATGAGTTAAAATGTATACGTATTTTATATTTGCGAATATGTTGGGTAGAACATGGGTAGATGAGATAGTTGGTATGTGATAAAATGAGAAGGTATGAAAGATGCGCCAAATAGAGATATCATAGTACTAGGAGATGTGCTTAAGAATAATATTGGTAAATGCACCAAATAGAGATGTCATAATACTAGCATATGCGCTTAAGAATAATATTGGTAGACGCACCAAATAGAGAATGTCATAATAGTAGCAGATGCGCTTATAGGATAATCCTGACAAATGCGCTTATAGGATAAGGTCGCCAGATGCGCCTAATAGTGAATGTCGTAATCCTGGCAGAGGCGCTTAAAAGATAAAGTTGGTAGATGCGCCTTAAATAACAATGGAATTTGTGTCTATTCCTTAAAGTCAAATTTTAGGAATGAATGAATAAAGGATAGGTGATTCTTAGGGTAAAACCTTAAGAAATAAAGAAGATTACGGGGATGAGTAATTGGGTTGATTATTTGATGATTAAATATAATAATTATATTATTATGGGTTGAAAACCCTATATGCTCACCAGACTCCCAATCCTGACCCACTCAGTTTAATTGTATCACAGGTATTGATATGAAGCTGCTTTATACTGAGAGATTAAAGGAGATGTAAATCACTAGAATAAATGAATGTATGTTGTGTTTATGCTTATGTGTCTGTATCGGAACATGACATCCCGAGGTTTTATTATTTAATGAAAATACATTCTCTTTGAGAAATGTTTTGATAAGTTTTTATCATATCTTGTTTTGAGAACAAATTTCGCAACTGTTTTTTTAAAAGATTACTCTGATTTTAAAAAACAAAGCATAAACAAATTGATTTTTCTGGCCGTAAAAATGAGGATGTCACACACACACACACACACACACACACACACACACACACACACACACACACACACACATATATATATATATATATATATATATATATATATATATATATATATATATATATAAACTCTTAAAATAACTTCTCAATTATTTAGTTTTAATACCCATAAGTTAATCAAAAAAAAAAAATTAATTCTGATTTCCTACAACATTAATAAGCTTTTTATAAAAAAAATACATAACTTGTTTTTAATCTACAACTCCGAACACGTATTAGAAAAAATATGATGGATAAGCAATGAATCTATAAACTTGCTTGGAGGTTGTTTGATTTTGGTAAAAAAAACTTTTTCAGATCAATTTTTTCTTTACGACTCAACATATGCACTACACTTGTCCTGTCACTACATTGTCTTATGGAAAACTTTGAGCTACAAAACCACTCAGTATTTTCTGCGTGACGCAACATTTGTCATATCTCTTCAAATCTATTCAATTTTTAATTTTTCTAATTGATTTTTTTTTTAGAAATTTGGTACAACTTGATTTGTTTTTTGAACTTTGATTTACTATTTTGATACAATTTCTTTTTATAGTCTCCATAATTTTTTATAATTTGATATTTTTTTTAGTTTTTTTACCGTGTCGTTTAATAATATATTCATATTCGGTTGCATCTTTTTTAAACACATGTGATTCGTTTATGAATTTTGTAGAAATTGTTTGTAATATTTTATTATTTTCTTTTTTTAGTTTTTTTTTAAAAAAAAAAAAACTAATAGTTTCTTTTATAATTTTTTAGCTTTTTCATAGAAGTTCCGTATTTTTATTTTTTTACATGTTCTTTTTAGTATTTTTTTTCAATGGGTTGAGATTAGAATTATTAAAATTTCATTATTCAGATTTATTTTTAGTTTATAAAATAAATTTATTTAAATTTCAAACTACATAAGACGGTAGATGTTTGATACGCATCTTCTAATATGAATATGTTACTTCATAAATTTTGGTTACCAAAAAATAGTTAATTATTTATTCGTATCAAGTCGTAGTTGAATATATAATGTCAACTTTACGATTTTTTCTGGTCAATGGCGGCTTGGTTCCTCAATGATTTGTGGCTCATTTGATTTACTTAATGGAGGTTACCATCATACTTATTGCCATCAACAATTAATGCTGACCTACATTTTGTTTTATTATGAATTATTAGTTCTGATGCCTTAAAATACTGGTTGAAATTTTGCACAAGATGTTTAATTATATTAAACTACGATACATCCTGTCCCATGGCCATGACCAATTAGATTCTCATCGATCTTATTCGTGCTAAGCAAATTAGGACATACAATTTGCGACAGCTAATTATATTGGGTGCGCACAACAATTATTGAAGATTAACAAGTAGTAACATAGTAGTCAGCTTTATAATACGATATATCTAAGATTTTGAGATTAATCCAGTTGTAATATGATTAAAAGTAGAAAACCTTCTCGTATCTGAACATTTTTAATTTACAACCATTTTTCTGTATAATGTGCACTTACATACGTACTAGTCGACATAGATCCTTGAATGAGAAAGTAATTTTATATCACATACAAATTAATAACACACAGCTCCAACTTCTTTTAATCATCTTCTTTAACATGTAGCAGCGAATCCACAACCTGGCTCATAGTTGGTCTTGCATCTTCATCTTCCTCTGAACACTGTAACGCTAGCATAATCAAAATTTCCATTCTACGCATGTTATATTCGCCATTGACATTAGGATCCACAACTTCTACAATCCAGTCATTCTTTCCACCAGCTGCTACTATCTTTTCCTTCACCCAGTTCGCAAGCTTTCTCTCAGATTGCCCACTTAGATCGCATCTTTGGCTACAACCTGTTATCATCTCCAACATCACAACACCATAGCTATACACATCAACTTTCGAGGTTATTGGACGATTGATAAACAACCATTCTGGAGCCATGTAACCTCTTGTCCCTCTTGCTTTCTTAAACTCTGAATTATTACACGTTCCATCTCTTTCCAATAGCTTCGACAATCCAAAATCCGCCACTTTGGGTTTGAAATCACTATCGAGCAATATATTATGAGGCTTAACATCGCAATGTAAAACCCACTCCAAGCATTCTTCATGTAGATAAGCTAAGCCTTTTGCAGAGCCTATTGCAATGTCAAACCTCTTACTCCAATCTAGTTTCTTGGAATGTAAATTTTGAGCCAATGATCCATTCTCCATGTACTCATAAACCAACAATCGGTGATTTTTCTCAGCACAATATCCCCACATCTCGATCAAATTCATGTGGTTTAGCTTCCCAAGGGTAGTTATCTCTGCTAGAAGTTCGGCTTCAGCTTGGTTGTTGCTAATTTGTTTAAGACGTTTGATTGCTGCGACTCGATCGTCTGACAATACTCCTTTGTACACAATTCCGCCACCTCCTTTCCCTATCTCGTTGCTGAAATTTTTAGTGGCTTTCTTCAATTCTTGATAGCTGAATCTCTTAAACCCTGTAGCAGCTTGGAGGTAACCTTGTGATTTGTTGTATGGATTTCGGGTTTTATAAAAGAAGTACATAATGCATATGATCTCCAGTGCACCGAATACATAAGTAAATATCCTCAGGGACTTGATGGAATCTTCATTTGTGTTCTTATCATAAGCTCTAGGAAGTTGGATTGTTGGTATCTCACTGCAGTTTAAGGTGAATCGCTGAACAACGTTGTTGTTAATTGAAGATAAGGGTAGAGTTTTTGGTAGCTTTAGATACATGGAACCATTAAAATTCACCGAAGAGAATCCATTCACCAGCTTAAACTTTGCGTAACAAAGAAAAATCCCTTTTGCGCTATCGTACTTGAACTGGAACCCTTTGCAATTGCAGATGTTTAAGCACTGTTGCTTACACCCATCTAGTGTTATATTCGGTATATATTTCGCATCATAGCCATAAAAATCGGTGTGAGGAAGTTCTAGGAACTTATCTTCGCCATTACCACATAATGTCGGCTCGAATTCTGGTTCACAACCATATGACCAATCTGTGTGATTGATCATTTTGTGATTTGGTAAACAGGAACACTTCCTACCATGTGTAGGATTGTTAGAACATGTACTATTTTCTCCACAACTTCCATGAATTCTGCAAGATTCAGACATAGCTTGCCATGTAACTTGCCAAACTCCTCTCATCTCATCCAGACTATAGGCACGGAAGTTGCCATCAACATCCATAGTCAACCTTCTCAATGGCTGAATTCCAGCATCCGATGTATTGAAGAAAAGACTATCACTTGAGATAAAACGACCATAGAAATCAAGGGTCGCAATCCTTCGGCTACCATAAGTAGACCTTCCAGATTCCCATGCACGTAGCTCAGGAGATGGCCAATAAACGCCTGCAACTTTAGGTCCATTATACACAAGTCTAATGACATTATCGTTGTCGAAAAAGAGCTTGTAGAACCCCGAAGAGTAATTCGTTAAACTTCTTGAAGAAACAAGTGGTGTATCTTTCGTAAGCTGTTGATCGGGAAGAAGGGTATCTGTTGGAGAGCCAAAGCTTTGCCAAATAATTTGATTATCGTGATTTTGAAGATAAAGATTTCCTGAATTATTCATTTTCAACTGAGCTGATTCTGTTGAATCTCTTATAGTTGTGGTCCATATTGGCAACGGTTGATCTGCATCGATTAGAACTAGATTTCCAGTTTTTAGGAGGGAAAGCTTTGAGCGTTTTCCATTAACTGGTACATCTCGATTAGCCATCCAAACAATGGTATGACTTCCATCTGCGAGTGGTTTAGTAAACCATACTGAAAAACAATAAGCATTCTCTCCAACACTGTAAAATCCGGCTGTATAAAGGCCGTTAGGTGAGATCAAAATGTCATTTTTGTTCTCGACTGAGAGAGATGAACCAGGGTTTAATATCAGTGGTGGTGATGGAGGAATTGGAGAGGGAGATATCAATGGTGTATGGGTTAGTAACACAAAAGCAAGCACTTGGAAAGGAAAAGCCGAAGCCATTGAGGGCGAGCATGAATTCAGGCGTCGATGGTCTTATAATAAATTAATCGGTATTCACATAAAGTCTACGGTCCACGGTACTGCGAAAGATGAATTTAATTATTATACTTTTGAAAATGATCATTTCAGATGTTATTTTTTTAAGATTTTTTAATTTTCTCTTTGCTTTTTTTTTTTTTTTTTTTTTTATAGCGGTGGCCGAGGTTGTAGCTCTTTAACAGGTCAACTATTTTTAATAGGATTCCAAAGCAAAATTTTCCATGAGTGGCCACAAACCTCCCCTGTCTCACAATGGTTATAAATCAACACCCCTTTCCCATGGACTACGCTTTATTTAATTTATTTTATTTTATTTTATTTTTTAAAATTTATAGTGTAGATACGTTAATTCTATTAATTTTGAAAATAAATATTCTAACTATTTATTTCTTAATAAAGGTTTTTATATGGCATTTCAACAACTACCATTAAGCATTGCTTTTTTTTAATATAAATTTATATTTAACTATATATACATATATTTTCCTAAATATAGTTAAGAAAATACTAAATATTTTATCTATTTATAATATTTTATATACGTATTTGATTTAATAAAGAAGGGTTATGTCAACAATTGTAACCTATTTTATTTAATAAATAATAATTATGTTAGTATTATATGTTTCATGATTATTATAGTATAATAAAAGGGAAAATGACTTATTAAGGTAACTAACTATTTCAGTTGTCCATATATAGGTAATGTTTTTTTTTTTTGTACACATTAAGGTAACTAACTTGTTTTGTTTGTTCACATTTAGGTAATATGACTGACTATCACTTGTTTTTGCTTATGTGGCATCTAACTGGCATATGACTTGAATACGTTGCACCTACGTGGCATTGTGCATATATGAGAACATGACTTATTAAGGTAACTAACTATTTCAGTTGTCCATATATAGGTAATGTTCTTTTTTTTTTGTACATATTAAGGTAACTAACTTGTTCTGTTTGTTCACATTTAGGTAATATGACCGACTATCACCTGGTTTTGCTTATGTAGCATCCACCTGGCATATGACTTTAATATGTGGCATCTACCTGACATATGACTTGTTTTTATTTTCTTTTTCCTTATCTTATTCTTCAAAACGACAAGATGAATTTCAAGTTGATCATGCATGTGATTGCGGCTTACCATCTCGTGTTAAATTTTCAAGAACTCCTGACCACGCTGGAAGAAAATTTAGAGTTTGTCAAAACTCGATGGTAAATCAATATGGTTGAATATGTTGCAGAAGTTCTTGAAATCTTCACACGAGATGGTAAACCGCAATCACATGGATGATCAGCTTGAAATTCATCTTGTCATTTTAAAGCATAAGATGAGGAAGAAGAAGCCATCGTCAATCGATCTAGGGTTTAGAATTAGGGGTGTAATCGTACGACACAGTTATAGTGTAATCGAATGAACACAATATATGCACAATGCCACGTAGATGCAACGTATTCAAGTCATATGCCATGTGGATGCCACATAAGCAAAAACAAGTGATAGCCGATCATATTACCTAAATGTGAACAAACAAAACAAGTTAGTTACCTTAATGTGTACAAAAAAAAAACGAACATTACCTATATATGGATAACTAAAATAGTTAGTTACCATAATAAGTCATTTTCTCATATATGCACCATGCCATGTAGGTGCAACGTATTCAAGTCAAATGTCAGGTGGATGCCACATAAGCAAAAACAGGTGATAGCCGGTCATATTACCTAAATGTAAACAAACAAAACAAGTTAGTTACCTTAACATGGACAAAAAAAAGAACGTTGCCCATATATGAACAACTGAAATAGTTAGTTACCTTAATAAGTCATTTTCCCTATAATAAAATAGAAAAATCAATCGAATCGTCCGTATATCATAAAAATAAGTGCGTCAAAACATATATATATATATATATATATATATATATATATATATATATATATATATATATATATATATATAGAAACTACACGAGTTTCAATCCTAAAAATATAAATTTAATAGAAATCCAACTTCGTATGAATTAGATATGATTTTTACAAGATAAAAAATTAGTTGCACACAACGAATGTATGACGTAAAATGCTACCAGGAAAATGGTTAACTTTTAGCTAATGTGAATAAAAAGAAAATCGTAATACTCAAATAGGAATTTTCAGAAAAAAAAATGCCAAAAACAGCGTCTGTAAGAGAGTGTTATGATTTTTGGCAAAATCATATACTTTTATAAAAATATGAGCAAAAATATAAATTCAAAATTATTCGGCGGAGTCTAAACGAAAGTTGTAAATCTCGTCAATAGCTACGCGTGGATATAAAGAACGTCAAAAACAGAGTGCGTATGAATTATAATTTTTAATAGCACATTTACATATTAAATAAATTGTAAATTATATATATATATATATATATATATATATATATATGTATATATATATATATATATATATATATATATATATATATATATATATATATATATATATATATATATATATCATTAGAAAGGTATCGAGGATGCGGTCGTTATAAGACTAGTGTTGACTACTTTCGATATTAGTTTAGTTCAAATATCATTAAATCTATTTTAAATACAATTAAAAATGGGCGTTTCATCATTTTTTAAAATTCAATTACTATAAATAAGAGCCTCTAGGCTCTCATATTTTTGCACCATGATCTTGATTCAAAAGTTTTTCTCTTCTTATCCCCTAAGCATTTTGGTCCTTCGTGATTCGTCTTCTCTTTCTGTAGTTTTAGTATAACAAGGTGAGCGCAGAAGCGCTGCAAGAATCTTTCTTAAAAGGATTCAGCGACGAAGTTCTGCCCCTACAGAGCCCGATTCTTAGTAAAAACCCCATTCTAAGTAAGTTATGGTTAGCCTAGTTTAAATATAGTTTATATTTAAAATTAGTATTATTATTACGAACTTATAGTAAATATTTGGACTATTATTATAACTTATATAAGTCTCGTTATAATATATTTTTAACTACCCGTGGTTCGGGGAATCTGGTTTTAAGGGCCGCATAGGGTTGTTGGACTTTAGAAGTACTATATGCCAAAATGGTCCTGCCATCCGGTGTTTTATGTCTGACCCTTATCTGTACATAGTTGTTGGAAAATATTGTTTACACACTTATAATAGAATAATAATGGTAAGACTAATAATTAGTCACAGTAAATATTAAGAAGTGAAGCGTTGGTGAGTTTGGAATCATCACTTTAACAATTGAGTGCATAGTTACTTTCATCTTACACATATATATGAAGTATTTAATATAAATTACGTGTTATGCGTGCATATTATTTGTGTTCTTGATATCTATGCTAGATGAACAAAAATATACATTTTTAATTGTTAAATTGTATATGTATTGTATATATATATATATATATATATATATATATATATATATATATATATATCAATAAATATGATGGGTAAAAGATAGATAGATTAAACATGAGATGAATGATGAGTGATGAAAGATGAGATGAATGATGATCAATGATATATGAGCGGTAAAAGATAGTGAGAAGCGATGACCGAAGCGATGGCCTCGTCATCTAGCAGAGTATAAATGACAACCACAAACTATTCTAGACAGTCCACTAGAACACAACAGGCTTGTAACCTGTAGGTGGTGTGAATGATGTGTTCACCCTGTGTACTATAAAAACCCATTGAGATGTATTGCGGGTGGAATCCCTAAAATAATGTTGTCAATAAATGAGATAAACCCTTGCAACTATGGACTTAGAGCCTGTTAGATGAACTTTGTCAACTATGGATTTAGTACCTGTTATATAAACCATGGCAATGATGGACTTCCTGCCTATTCCATGGGACAATCCTTAAGAATAAATAATGAGAAATAGATGATTCATAGGGAAGATACTTAAGAATAAAGAAGATGATAGGGATGGGTAATTGGGTTTATTGTTTCATGATTAGACATAATAACTTTATTATTGTGGGTTGAAAACCGTATGTAGTCACCAGGTTTCCCAAATTGACCTACTCAGTATATTTGTATCACAGATGTCGATACGAAGCTACATTACACCGAGAGATTAAAGGAAAGAAACCGAAGCAGAGTTGGAAGCCCAAATAGAAACAAGAATTAGCAGCCTCAACCCCGAGTGATTGAGCAAGTACCAGTAGTAGCTGCTGCAACTGAGCCAATCATGATGACAGGAGTGTAAGTAATGATCCAGATGATGTTTGATCATCAAATGGAGGAAAGCAGGCGGTTATTTCAACAGAATCGGGATGGACCTACGATGCCTGTTGAACAGGCCGATCAAAATGATGGACAGTTGGGAGAAGGGAACTATAATAGGACAATTGGTCAAGCTGAACTGCCAATGGTTAGAAAAAATAACCAAGATGGAGGAAATGATGGATGTGGATGCAAATACAAGGATTTCATTGCATTCAAACCAACGTGTCTTTCTGGAATCCAAATAATGGTGGAAGTTATGGACTAGATCTCTAAAATGGAGACCATATTTGAGAGTTGCGATTGTAACAATAGACAAAAGACCACTCTCGCGGGTCCCCTGTTAATGTCTAGAGTACTGAGCTAGTGGAAGATACTAGTTGATATGATGCCCAAGGGTGAAGCAATAAAGATGTCTTGGGAAGATTTCCTAGTGCAACTAAAAATACAATACTGCTTTGAGAAGGATCTTCTGGAGATTAACAATGAGTTACAGAACCTGAAGAAGGGAAGGATGAGTGTCACTGAGTATGCTGCAATTTTTATGAAGAAGATGAACCTTGTTCCTTACCTAGTTCCAACTGAACTCTCCAAGGTCAACAAGTTTGTCAATGTATTACCAGCTTACTTTGGTCCGTTGGATAAACAAACAACCACTTTGAAAGCCGCCATTTGGGCAGCCAAGAATGTTGAGACCCAGATAAGGGAAAAGGGTCTGGAGAAAGTTGAATTTG